TCTAATTTCATCATCTGCATATGTTGAATCATCATCTCTAAAAAAACCCTCCAGGCCAATTACCAATTCTTTTTGATGTCATTATGCTTGTGAAAATTAGATAAAATTAGATAAGACAAAAATTATAAAATAAAAACTCATTATAAAATCATTTTTTGTAAGAAATTGTTTAACAACAAGTATTTTTGATTTTTTTCCAAGTCAATTACCAATTCCTTTATGCTTGTGAAAATTGGATAAAATTAGATAAGACAAAAATTATAAGATCAAAACTCATTATAAAATCATTTTTTTGTAAGATTGTTTAACGGGTGTTTCTGATTTTTTTCAATTGGGGCTACAGTAGGGATGACAGAGAAAAGATTGGAGTGAGAAAGATGAAAGAGAAAGGGTTGAGAGGAATGACAGAGATGAGTAAGGGTTTGGGGGTTTCTTTTTTTTTTTTTTTAAGTTTTGAGAATGAAAATTATTAAAATACCCTTAACTTTAAAACTTAGAATCCATGATATATAAAGGTATTTTTGTCTACTAAAATCCGGTACACATTGCTAAAATGTACCAACTGAAAAACAGGCGTACGCGCATTAGCAAACCCTATATATATATATATATATAAGTGTAAAATAATTTAAAATGTGTAAAGTTCTGTATTTTAAAAAAAAGAAAATAAAAAATAAGTAAGATAGAATCAGATAAATGTAAAAATTTAGGTGTGTGGAATAATATTTTCAAGAAAACACTTTTTCTTACATAAAAGCCTTTTTATTTAGATATTAGTTTATATTTTGTTATTCTTTTAAAGTTTTTTTTAGGAATGTTTACTGTAAATTTGTTTGATGTAGTACAACCAAATTCATTCGAGCTAAAAGAATTCTAAATTATAAATATCAAGAACAATTTCATAAGATATATATATATATATATATAATCCGTTTAATTGTAATTTAAGTTGATTTTCCTTTTTTTTATAAAAAAGAATTATGAAAATAACAATTAAAATATTCAATTATTTCAGTTGTTTATTCATATATTAAATACACAATATTCATCGCAAATAATACTCATTACTAAATTTATTTTAAGTTTGTTGTGGATCCAAAGGAATATTTAATTAATTACTCTAAAAAATGTAAGACCGTTAATAATTTCAATTGACTCAATTATCATATTTTTTTTGAAATAAGTACACGATAAAAAAATTATTGAAACAAAACATAAATAACTTAAATATATTTCCTGAAATAAAAACAAAAAAAATATATTATTATTCAGTTATTTAAAATAGAATACTTACATATTCATAAACATATTCTACTTATTTTTTTTACCAAAAGTAGTGTACATATACATACATACATTAGAGGGACCATATGTACAGGTGAAATGAAATATATGTAATTAAGAAAACGACAGTGTCCTAAGATTGGTTTTCAGTTCCCTGAGCAAGAAGGTTCTGAGAGTCAGCGTTCTTGCCCCAAGCTCTCTCCTTCCATATGAGTCCAACTTCATCAAAGGTCAATCCTTTTGTCTCTGGAACATGTAATACCACAAACACAAAGGCAAGAACTGTAATGGCAGCAAGAATCAAGAAAGTGGAACCTGTCCCTATGCCATCTGCAACTGAAAGAAAGCTCTGAGACACAATCAAATTCGAAACCCAACAAACAGTGGCTGACATGCCCCCACAGATTCCTCTATATTCCTCTGGATATATCTCTGAGTTCATAGTCCATGGCACAGGTCCCATTCCTGGGGCGAAAAAAGCAATGTACAGAACTAAACCCAACACTGCAAGCCATCCATAGTGTTCTTTTGATGATTGGTTTAAAAATGACACAGACAAGATTATCAAAGAAGCAAACACCCCTCCTAAGCTACAAAGAGCCAACTTCTTCCGACCGGCGTGGTCTATTAGGTATATGCCAAGAATTGTTCCGGCGGCGTTCATGGCAGCAACTAAAAGGGACAGCAGAAGAGCCAACTCATTAGACCGGAACCCAGCCATTTGGACTATTGTCGGGCTGTAGTACATCACCGTGTTTATACCTATGAACTGCTGGAAAGCCTGCGCAATCATCCAACCCATGTTAGAAAGATGGTGAATTTCATTCATGGATTCAACACTGAAAATGAGTTTAGGAATACTTGTTTGTAAAGTGAAATGGGTTTTCTTTGTTACCTGAAGTCCAGCTCCAACAAGAAATGCCAGTCTGAATTCTTTTGATCGAAAAACATCCCCAAATTTTATGTTCTTCCTTCTTTGGCGTTCTTGCTCTGACAAAGCCGTTAAGAAATCAACTTCATCCTCCAAGCGATCGATGTCATAAATCTTGGAAAGCACATCGACAGCTTCATTTTTCCTGTTCTGCACATGCAACACAACAGAGGATCACAAAATACACAGCTACCGAGAAGAGCAGAGGAATGTTGCAGCTGTACGAACCTTCATAAAGAGCCATCTTGGGGATTCGGGTAGAGAAAGCATGAGAAAAAACTGAACCACTGCTGGCACAGCTGAAACTCCCAGCATCCATCGCCATGTCCCACGAACCTGGTTGAATAATAGAGACATTTTGAGAAACCTTGGAGAAAGAAAACTAAATTCTATTCTAGCTGGTTATTGAGTAAAATGAAGTTAAACAAAAGTCATCGATTATTTACCCTTGTAAAAGCAAGATTTACGAGGTAGGAAAGAAACTGTCCACCAGTTATCATGAGAACATTTGTGCTTACTAATGAGCCTCTTATTTCAGATGGTGATGCTTCTGCTATGTACACAGGAGCTGTAACAGATGCAACACCCACACCCAAACCAACCAATAAACGTCCCAGAATTAGCACAGTAGGGTCTGCTGCAGCAGCCATGCCAATTGCTCCTAAAATGAATATTACATCAGCAATCAGAGTGGCCTTCTTTCGTCCATATACATCATTTATCCACCCTCCTGTTGCTGCTCCAACTATTGCACCAGCAATTGCCATGCTCACTATTGTTTCCTGCCAACTCATATTATTACGATTCATTTACTTGCAATCATATGCTGAAATTCCTAATCTTCTGAATCAGTTTTGGACCTCTATAGCATCAAATCATGAATCCAATACTTGCTTTAACTTGAAAACAGATGCATATCACATCATATCATATACACGAATGTCTGTCTGTAAAGTCTGTACTCAATCACATCGGAAGATCACAAGGATTAATCGTACCTGAAGAAAATTACTTTGTCTAACCGCTTCAAAATCATCTTTAATATACAAAAGTGCTCCTGATATGACACCTGGGACAAAATGAATGTTACGCAGCTACAGAGAAGATAACTGGGACATTATAGGAACAGGGACACGAGTGTTTTCAAAAACATGGTCAGCCACTGCATGTAATGTAATTGAGAATTCGATTCCATTTTCTGAACATTGAACTTCGAGTATGACATTATTTTGGAAATTAGTAAGTGAATTTCTTGAAACCTTGTTTTTTAATATGAAAGAACTAGAAATGTATAGACGTAACTCACTGGTGGTAATACACAATATTAGAACATCTTTAATAACATCTTATAGGATGTAATATAGTTGGTCATACGTAAAATTTTACAGTGTCAACATCATTGTTGACATGACAGTTAAAGCGATTATTGTAAAGTTGTGTGAGTGGTTGAAAATAAGAAAATGAAAAGCACAATATTAGAATAAAGGAGAAATTAGGTACCAGTGTCGTAGCCAAAAAGCATGCCACCAATGCCAGCGACAGCAGTGAGTCCGAGAATAAAAGGGTTCTTAAAAAACGAGATTTTGCGGTCAGGATACACATCCAAATACCCTGAGCTTCCTGGTGCCGATTGCCTTCTCGTTGTCGTCATTCTCCTCAATTTTTTAAAATAATCCAAAACCTAATAATAATGATAACAAATTACTAAATCCACGATGCAGCGGTCGAATTCAATGGGGTACAGTAACGTTCACCAATTTTCAATGGATATTGCAAATTTTAGACATTCCCCAGAAAACTTGATGATCCATTCAGATTCTATCGTTTTCCCTTCTGTTTCTTGGGTCTTTCAAAAGGGAAACGACATGATATGTTATGCGATGCCATGCATGCATTCTGGACATAGGAGGATTCCCAACATCAATTGTTACCATTTTTAAAGACTGCCAAAATCTATAGGTAACGTCGTTTTCCGACAATCTTGTCTCATTTATAAATGGCCCATTTCAACCATTTTACACAAAAAAAAAAAACATGCATTATAATTTTGAGGATAAGGTTACAAGCTACTGAAATAAATTTGTTTATCAAGTCCTGTTTGAAAAATTGAATAATTTTCAACTATTAAAGAAAAAGTAAATTTTTTTACATGGCCACAGTTTACTTTTAGACGTTTATATTTTAATTTTATGATCTTAAAACGAGGATTGAGAAGAAAAAATTAGTAGATCCATTCCAAAGAAAGAGGGACGGCGAAATCACAAATTTGCTTGTATTTTAATTTAAGGTTGTTTTCTGAAATATTTAGTATTTGTTAATCATCATTTTATTCGTATAAATGTGGATTATCGTCTGCTTAAAGAATTAAAAAAAAATTGAAAATGATATAGAAACACGTTAAAAAACTTAAAGAAAACATTTTTTTTTACTTTACAATAATAAAAAAAAAGAGTCACTTTTGATGTATTTTGGCTTACCCAGAGGGCATTCTCTTGATCAATTGTGGAAAGGACACATTGCAACTATTTTGTATAAAATAATGTAATCTCTTAAACCAAGTTACAATGGAGAATATTGTTACATTAGTGGTAATAAACAAAATACATACCCTGGTCACCAATTCAGTTTCTAGATTATAACTTACGAAAAACTAACATCAGTAATATGAAAACTACAACACAGTAAAATTGTAAGCAGTGTCAGAGCCATGAAAATTAATGACACGCTATTTACCATGCATCAGTCTCTTGGGCGAGCAAGCCAAAGAGAGCTAAGAGCACGCAGCCTAGAAAAGTAGTCATGTATTGCAAGCAGTGCACGAGCAGATTGCCGAGTTGTCAGTATCCGATGAATTTGTTGCAGTGTTTGCTGGCGCAGATTATCAGCCTTCAAATCATCACCACACAAATTAAGAACTCAGTTAATTTACTTCAACAGTGATGTTTGTTATAAATGCTGCATAGTGTGAGAAAATTTTATCAACTGTGAAAATGAATAGAAAGCCAAGGGTGGTCTGCAAGATACTTGAATTGATTGTTGATATGTGAATAAGATAAGTCTTTTACCTGCTTAATGAACCCCTCAAGTGTCCCTAATTTGCCCATGGCCATAGCCATTTGACCCATGTAATTTGCCACATTCCCTGATGAACCAGAGGAGCCAAGTGATCCAGTGGATAATGTCTCCGAAAGGGACTGCTGCAATGCTTCCATGCCCTGAGACAATGCATCTTCAGCCTGTTGGGAAGATTGCTGCAAGTTTGTGATACCCACTAACTGCTGCTCTGTCAGAGGTTCCAACTGATTTACCAGCAGCTGCAACCAAATTCATGTCACTCTAGTCAAGGCTCAAACAATCACTTGACATACAAAGTATCTCAAACATATATAAAAGGAGAGAAGAGGGTAATAGGAATTTGAACCATACAAATATGATATAATGATGGGTTATTCACAAAATGTCAAAACAAACATATCTACACTAATATTCTAGCAAGTGAAACTGTAATACAGATATATTAATAGTCTTAAAGTCCTAATATGATAAAAACACCCTACCACACAATAAGAATCCTAAATCCAACATTTTAAATTCTAAATCAACCAGCATTATCAGAAAGCAACCATAAATATAGATGCAAAATTTCAACCCTCAATTCATGTATTCTCTATTACAGAACTCTCAGGTTACAACAAGTTGGGTATCTTATAATTATCACCAAAAACTGTAGGAGATTTTTCTTTGTATGTCGCTGTTATAATTCTAGAAATAAGGAGCAGATCTTATATAATCAAGAATATCAAGATTATATATGTAAATATTTTTATTTATTTCCATATTTATTGTTAGAGTAAACCAAATCTCCTTTATTTATTGTATTGATCTCATTTTCTCAGTATAAATAAAGTATCTATGTTGTCTCAGAAATACACGGATTCAACTCAATATCTCTCTCTTCCCGGTAGTTTAACAATTACAATGAAAAACTAGGGCTTAATAAAGCCATAATATCTTTCAACAAACCAAAGGGTCACAATCAGCTCACCTTGAGGAGTTCAGAAGACCGAAAACCTCCAAGCCATAGGAAACACCTCTCGGCTGGTGTTTTCCACATGCCAGACAACAAATGGAAGACATCAGCCTTAGCTGCATTGGCCTTCAGTCTAAATATTTCATCATAATGTGCCATTACACCATCGATAATCATGCAGAGTTCTGTATCACCTGCGTGAGAATTTACAGCTGATCTTAGCTCATTAATTTGTCGATTCTGCTCTTCCAGCCACCTTGCATATTCTGCATCAAATGCCATGGCCCCTGTAGAAAAACATAGTTATGGATTATCACATGCAACAGATGAGAAATTTATACATTCCAGAAATTTTTTGGTACAGTAAGACACAAGTTATAAACATATTTTGATATTAAAATTTGTGGAATTAATAACATATTTTAGAGAAAAGGATACCATTTCCACTCATCGAATGCGCTTGATCACCTGAACTTGATATAAAGACTCCCTGCAGGGAAAGAAACCAGACATTTGAGTTTAAATTGAATATGAGCATAGATTGGCAAAGTTTTCACTAAAAAGGAGAACATAATCTACTTCCAAGGAATAATTGCACCCTACCTGCTGCCTAGCTCGCTGAAGCTCTTGCTCCAGTTGGGTCAGCTTTAAACGACTACTTTCCAGCTGTTGAACATAAGCCTGAAGAGTAACAACATTTCGGTATGAAGTCTTGCATTTTAATGGCCAAGTGGGGTGATGCAAACACAATTATTTCTAAAACCTATCAAAGAGATCAAACAAATAAAAACAGTACAGCTTACAAGTATCAGAGTATTCCAATTCAACCCATACTCATTACCAAATAACTAATTACTATTCCAAAGCGCTCTATTCTATAAAGGTTGAATACTCATATTTATCAGTTTACAAGTTCCCTTCTAAGTGCAGTTAAGAAGAAACATCCAGAAAATTGCCATGGATATAACATCACAGAGGTAATAACTGTAGTACTCACAATATTTAGTAACCAAAATACANATTTGTTAATCATCATTTTATTCGTATAAATGTGGATTATCGTCTGCTTAAAGAATTAAAAAAAAATTGAAAATGATATAGAAACACGTTAAAAAACTTAAAGAAAACATTTTTTTTTAAATTAAAAAAAAAAAAAAAAAGAGTCACTTTTGATGTATTTTGGCTTACCCAGAGGGCATTCTCTTGATCAATTGTGGAAAGGACACATTGCAACTATTTTGTATAAAATAATGTAATCTCTTAAACCAAGTTACAATGGAGAATATTGTTACATTAGTGGTAATAAACAAAATACATACCCTGGTCACCAATTCAGTTTCTAGATTATAACTTACGAAAAACTAACATCAGTAATATGAAAACTACAACACAGTAAAATTGTAAGCAGTGTCAGAGCCATGAAAATTAATGACACGCTATTTACCATGCATCAGTCTCTTGGGCGAGCAAGCCAAAGAGAGCTAAGAGCACGCAGCCTAGAAAAGTAGTCATGTATTGCAAGCAGTGCACGAGCAGATTGCCGAGTTGTCAGTATCCGATGAATTTGTTGCAGTGTTTGCTGGCGCAGATTATCAGCCTTCAAATCATCACCACACAAATTAAGAACTCAGTTAATTTACTTCAACAGTGATGTTTGTTATAAATGCTGCATAGTGTGAGAAAATTTTATCAACTGTGAAAATGAATAGAAAGCCAAGGGTGGTCTGCAAGATACTTGAATTGATTGTTGATATGTGAATAAGATAAGTCTTTTACCTGCTTAATGAACCCCTCAAGTGTCCCTAATTTGCCCATGGCCATAGCCATTTGACCCATGTAATTTGCCACATTCCCTGATGAACCAGAGGAGCCAAGTGATCCAGTGGATAATGTCTCCGAAAGGGACTGCTGCAATGCTTCCATACCCTGAGACAATGCATCTTCAGCCTGTTGGGAAGATTGCTGCAAGTTTGTGATACCCACTAACTGCTGCTCTGTCAGAGGTTCCAACTGATTTACCAGCAGCTGCAACCAAATTCATGTCACTCTAGTCAAGGCTCAAACAATCACTTGACATACAAAGTATCTCAAACATATATAAAAGGAGAGAAGAGGGTAATAGGAATTTGAACCATACAAATATGATATAATGATGGGTTATTCACAAAATGTCAAAACAAACATATCTACACTAATATTCTAGCAAGTGAAACTGTAATACAGATATATTAATAGTCTTAAAGTCCTAATATGATAAAAACACCCTACCACACAATAAGAATCCTAAATCCAACATTTTAAATTCTAAATCAACCAGCATTATCAGAAAGCAACCATAAATATAGATGCAAAATTTCAACCCTAAATTCATGTATTCTCTATTACAGAACTCTCAGGTTACAACAAGTTGGGTATCTTATAATTATCACCAAAAACTGTAGGAGATTTTTCTTTGTATGTCGCTGTTATAATTCTAGAAATAAGGAGCAGATCTTATATAATCAAGAATATCAAGATTATATATGTAAATATTTTTATTTATTTCCATATTTATTGTTAGAGTAAACCAAATCTCCTTTATTTATTGTATTGATCTCATTTTCTCAGTATAAATAAAGTATCTATGTTGTCTCAGAAATACACGGATTCAACTCAATATCTCTCTCTTCCCGGTAGTTTAACAATTACAATGAAAAACTAGGGCTTAATAAAGCCATAATATCTTTCAACAAACCAAAGGGTCACAATCAGCTCACCTTGAGGAGTTCAGAAGACCGAAAACCTCCAAGCCATAGGAAACACCTCTCGGCTGGTGTTTTCCACATGCCAGACAACAAATGGAAGACATCAGCCTTAGCTGCATTGGCCTTCAGTCTAAATATTTCATCATAATGTGCCATTACACCATCGATAATCATGCAGAGTTCTGTATCACCTGCGTGAGAATTTACAGCTGATCTTAGCTCATTAATTTGTCGATTCTGCTCTTCCAGCCACCTTGCATATTCTGCATCAAATGCCATGGCCCCTGTAGAAAAACATAGTTATGGATTATCACATGCAACAGATGAGAAATTTATACATTCCAGAAATTTTTTGGTACAGTAAGACACAAGTTATAAACATATTTTGATATTAAAAATTGTGGAATTAATAACATATTTTAGAGAAAAGGATACCATTTCCACTCATCGAATGCGCTTGATCACCTGAACTTGATATAAAGACTCCCTGCAGGGAAAGAAACCAGACATTTGAGTTTAAATTGAATATGAGCATAGATTGGCAAAGTTTTCACTAAAAAGGAGAACATAATCTACTTCCAAGGAATAATTGCACCCTACCTGCTGCCTAGCTCGCTGAAGCTCTTGCTCCAGTTGGGTCAGCTTTAAACGACTACTTTCCAGCTGTTGAACATAAGCCTGAAGAGTAACAACATTTCGGTATGAAGTCTTGCATTTTAATGGCCAAGTGGGGTGATGCAAACACAATTATTTCTAAAACCTATCAAAGAGATCAAACAAATAAAAACAGAACAGCTTACAAGTATCAGAGTATTCCAATTCAACCCATACTCATTACCAAATAACTAATTACTATTCCAAAGCGCTCTATTCTATAAAGGTTGAATACTCATATTTATCAGTTTACAAGTTCCCTTCTAAGTGCAGTTAAGAAGAAACATCCAGAAAATTGCCATGGATATAACATCACAGAGGTAATAACTGTAGTACTCACAATATTTAGTAACCAAAATACATGTTTAACTGAGTCAGAGCTCAGAGAAAGTTGTACTCATTTTGTGTGTATTTTCTCACCATAAAAGGAAGTATACTTCAGCTGCATTGTTGAGAAGACAATGGGAAAATTAAGCACAGACAGCCAAAAGCAGTCTTGCTGAATTCTTGATTATTTTCATATTCATGGTTTTACCTACAATTTTCCAATTTGGTGGATATTTTCCATTTTTGAGGATATCCTATTCTACCTCTAGTTGTTCTATCCACCTTTCACTTTGACAAATTGATTTTTTCAATTAAAAAATATATTATATTATCACTTGAACATAATCAATGTCCATGGTACTCTCAGTTCGCAAGCAAGCCTACAAAAGCTGTAGACCAAACTGATCATTCAAATACATACAACCACACAGATGAGAATATATAGCCTGTATTTGAGTTACAATGAAGCCATGCCAATATTTATATGGAGAAAGAAGAAAACAGATAATCACTTGTAACAAGAAATATTAACAAAAAAGTTCATGTTCCTACTTTCTTTCTCAGTCGGCTTTTTCTTGCAGCCTCACGATTCTGAGCAAGCCTGCGGAGAGTCTGTGATAAATTAAAAGCCAATGATCATGTAACAAATATTTATCTAAAATTTTAGATAGAAAAATAAATTTAAACAGAGTAAACATTTATGTTGGTCCTTAAATGGTATACACAATATTAGTGTGGTCCTCAATCTATAAATTGACATCATTATTGGTACTTCAATGTTTATTGATGGCATCATTTAGTTCTTTAAGGATCAACCAGATGTTTCATCTTATGAGGGTCAATTTGATGTTATATATAATTGGAGTGACCAAAATGGTCATTTACTCTTCAAAATGTACTTTACCTTCTGATCTGTTTTATCCTTTGATCTGTCACTGGAGTCAGAAGCCACAGCAGCAAGGGCTTGATTTCTATCAAACTGTACATGTGGAATGTGCAAATGTCAGATTGTAAGAAATGTCAACAAAATAACCACAGCTTTAAGGAACAGAATGGGAAAGTTGAATCCTTGATGATGAGTTCAATAGGTTCAAAACCAAGAAGAAAATTGCATGGAAGGTAAAAAGAAACTTCACCTGTGGATTCTTATCGTCGGTGTCAGCATCTGTAGAAATATCAGTTCTAGGACTGGCATCAGCCATGGCAAACTCTTCCAGGTGTTCTGTATCACCAGTAACCAAATTTGATGTGTGAACCTTTTGGAATTGCAAGCTTTGCTGCTCTGTTTGGTTTGTTAATATGCTTTTGTCAAGTGAAGTTGGCAACTAAATTGAAAACAGAAAAAAAAATGTAAAATAAGAGAATTATGTTTTAGCCAGCAATCACCTAATTTAACAAGCTGAATGTTTCATAGAAAACGAGAACTAGCAAAACTCACCTTATCAAAGGAACCAAGTTGAATAACACCTCGAGAAACTGTCTGGCTACTTACTTTAAGTGAGTCTAAAATTGAGTCTGAATCACATATCAGATAACATTATTAGAGAATGAAAAAGTGGAGAAAAGATTACATTTTACCAAGAATAGAAGCAATACTTTAGTCAGAGTATAAACTTAGATATCTAGTTCTTTACCCAAGAGTTAAAAGGCCAGTATATATATTTTAGCATGTGCGCATCTGTGGATGTATTACTGCTCCTTTTTGTTATCTTTCACAGCACTTCGTTATATTTTAGCATGTTTTTTGTATTTTTCCCGTACATAACCATACTAGTTGGAGGTAGAACAAGTGAATTTACCGACAAAGGGTTTGTATGTTTTTACTTCGTGCATAATATTTCTTTGAATGAAAGGGAATGCTCAAAGTAAATGTTTAATGCAGAAAGTCAAGTTTGACCACTCACACTGATTATATTAGTAAATGAATTTTAGTAATGTTACAAAAGATTAAGAAGAAATATTAAAACGAATATTGCTTCTTATTGAGTCATTATTAGTTACCACTACGTGGCTAACAGATGTAAATGAAATTCTTTGTAAAATTACATCAAATTGAGAAGAAATCATGTGAGTGGCCGTTGCTTTTTATTCTGTGGTCATACTAATTTGTACTACCGAGTGCCTTACTGTGAAACATGAAACTCAGCATTAGATGCAGCGTTACAAAGAAATGTGTGAATTGCTATGTGTTTCTTTCTATTAAGTGGTTATTTGTTAACATTAAGTGGCTAAAGATTTTATATGAAGTTCCATCTCTAAAGTAACAGGAAATTGGGAAACAAAATTTGAGTGGCTATTCCTTTTTAACGATTTTAGGTTAAAAGGTTAATTATGGTAAATGAAGTCCTATACATAAAGTTACACGAAATTAAATCAAGCTATATGCGTAAGGTTACATGAAATTATGAATTAATTTGGAAGTGATTACTTTTCATCGAATAGCCATCTTTTACCCATGTGACTAAACATTTTGTAGGTGATACAATAACAATCTAATAACTAAAAAGCCCAACAACAATATACCATCTTAAAATTGGGATAGGACTAATTCAACCACGAAAGCTAGCTCATGGAGTATGAGTAGTTGCCCCACGCTTATATTATATACACGATATCAGTAAACAATGCAGAATCTCCAACAATAAGAATACTTACTTCCACTCAAGGCAACAGCATCCTCTATGCGATATCCAACTGATTGATCAAAGTCAGACAGACGAAAAGAATCAATTGTGCTTCCCTCTGTATAGCTGAAAAAAAAAAACATAATCAGATTCAGTTAACAGACAAGCACAAATCAGCTCAGGTCCTTCTTTTCAGACAAACAGCACATAAAACCTAAGTCTTCTAAACTTGATGGATTCAAAAGGCAAAAACAGGAACATTCTAATAGTCTAGTAAACCAAGATGTTTTTCCCCTTTCAGTGAATGTTCTATTGTTGCTTGGACAATGAATCCAAATATCCAATAAAGGAGCAATGACATGGGAACAAAAGAAATCTAGGTTGGGAAAACTATACACCACATTTCATAAAACGGGACAGATTTAGTATTATTAAATCTAATACTAAGAGTAACTGCTAAGAGGAAATATACCATGCATTGGAATTGGGCAGTTGTGGATTGAAGCTCGGCATCCCTCTTGCTGTTCCCTTCTCATCTTCTACACAAACACAGCTCTACTCCACACACACCATCATATTTCAATAATAACCTTGCAGCCGAACAAAATTCAAGACCTGAAACTCACCATGACCAAAATACTACACAGAATAAAAAACACAGTCTTTGCTTCACTGGTAGCACACTAGCAAAACGACTCTAAATCAAAAACATTGATAACAAAAGAAACTCTTCACATGCTTCTGCCCATGAGGGATGACCGGCAGACTCAACTTTGACAAAGACAAAATTAAAACAACTCAAATCTAGAGAATTCCTGGACTTCCTCGGATAGTAACAGAAAACAAATCTGAAACCGTTGAAGAAAAAAAACACTCAACTGTAGTAGCTCAGGCGATTAAAAAACCAACTTCGCTGCCTGAAGCACAGACTTGGGAACAATCCAGTGTGCCCACAAGCTAAACTCACGGAAAACGAAAATTTGCAACCAGATAAACAGTGCAAAAAGTCAAAGCAGGACACTTTTGACAAGCAAAAGACTAATTTGACACCAACCTAGCAACCCCCTGATGGACGCCCAAACCAATAAAAAAAGAAAATACCAAATCTAATCTCAAGAAGATTAATTGCAAAAAAATAAAAATAAAGTTTTGAGCTTTCACTGATGCTACCAAATACTGGCAGAAAATGAAGGGAACCCACCTTGGAATTCTGATGATGTGGGTGATGATGATGAATGATGATGGTATCTGTTCAACTTTTTTTTGGTGAATAATTATTATTGTTGGATTAAAGTGAAAGGAAGAGGGCTATATCATATGAGAGAGAGAGAGAGAAAGAGATGAAGGATCGATCCAATTTAATATTTTTCATTTTCCAATTTTTATAATGTTTCAGTGCTTTGACATGATTCATCGTTAATTGTATTTTACTGTTCCTATGTTGGCATCTTCTTCTATTTTCATTCATTTTCCTTTGTTTTACTAATTGTTTATGTTTATGGTTTTGTCACTGTATCAGAGATACACACTGACACGGTAATTACACAGTGTCTTACGTTATAGCTTCACAGCTATCTTTCACTTTTCATTGTTGCGGCCATGATCCTCTGCTACAAGTCACACCTGTTCTTGGTGCAACCTTTTTCATATACACTTTTAGCTTCTTAAATTTTACTTTTTTATTTCTATCTTCCAAAACTATTTATTTTTAATTTCTGAATTTCCGAAACTACTTCAAATAAAAAATTGAAAATTTGTAATTTATGAGAACTTTTAACGATCAAAATTCCTTTCTGTATACAATTTTTCTTCTCTTATGTTTTTCTAAATTTCTAAACTGAAGCTTTTTCTTTGTTCATTGATTAGGTTTACACAGTTTTTTGAATAAAATTCTAAAAAGGAAAACAAATAATCATCATTTAATTTGATTAAGAAAATATGTTTGAATTTAATATGTTTTCGTATACCTACCATTTAAGATATGTACGGGCTCAAGAAAATTAAAATTTGTTAACTTTTAATTATACTTTATTGAAATAGTCTTAATGTTTAGGTGATCAAAGTGACTCGTTTACTAACAATGGTAATTATTTATGGAAAATTATACAACCTTCTAATATGTGTGTTTCATCCTCTGGATCGATTATTTAACTTTTTTTTTTCTAAATTAGGTTAAAAACCAGTCATTTGATCTTTATATTTAATATTTAATGCTTATTTATGAATTAATATATATGTAAATGAAACAATGTAACTTGTTTCTTATACAAAATAGCATTTCGTTTTCATTTTCAACTTTTGTATCTTTAAAAAGTGACATTAAGTTTGTATTTTTGCAAAACTACTGAAGAAGTTGACTTAAAAAAGGTAAAATGAAACAAAAAACAAAAAAAGCAAGACGAAGTGGAAGTTGCTAAAATTGTTTAATAAAATATTTATTAAAGTTATAGGTTGAATTAACTTATAAATAGTTTTATTTAATTTAGTTGATGGATATATTTTGTAGTATTTATTATTATAGTTTTTAATTAATTTCAAGCCTCTGTAAAATTTTATTGAGCAATCAATTATTGTTCTTTCATATTTATTAGAAAATAAATATACTTGTATCTACGTTCTTATATCTTATTTTGCTATTTTAAATATTAATTAAATAATATTTTTACAAAAAATAAAAGTCACATCAAATAAATTATAATATTATCAAGTATTTGATATAAAAAGTAAACATGTTTCTTTTATCCCATGTCAAAAATAAAAAACAAATTATAGTGGTATAAATAAAAAATAAAAATTTTACAAATAATTTATAATAAAAATAATAAAATGTGTAAAATTAGATACGAAAATAAAGATCAAATAAAAATTAATAACAATTTATTAAATTATGTAACAAATTATACATATTTTAGTAATCTATATCTATGTATTTATTTCTATGTTTATATATAAATTTATATATATGTACAAAAAGGATTTTTATTTTTTGTATCTATATTTGTTTTCAAATTTTATTCACTAAATTATTTCTTTTAAACTAGCATAATTATTTTATCAATTTTATTCTGACAAATTTATACGTTTTTTCCAATTTGAAATTTCTTTAAATTTAATCATTTTTAATTACAAAATTAACTACAAAATAAAAAAAAATACTTATAATAAATTTATAAAATATATTCATATAGTTTTATAATTATAATAATAACAATATCAAAATTTTTATTACTTTTTCCTATCTTAAAATAAGTAAGTAAACACATATTTCACTAGTTTAAAATAAGAAGGATAAAAAAGAAAGAGATGAGAAACATATATATATATATATATATATATATATATATATTCTCATCATTTTCTTACCCTAATTAAAAAAAAGTAATATCACCTGTACCTAATTAGGAAAAAAAAAAGTAAATATTACTCATAGGCTTTCTTTATCATTCCTACCTGTCTTTGTTTTAAAATATTTTGAATCAATATTATATTAAAGTAAAAATACTACATGTTTTAAAGAAAGCATTACCAAAAATAAAAGTCAAATGTTATAGATAATATATTGACTAAAGGAAACGGCATAATATAAAAATACTATAAAATTAACATTTATGTAACTTTAATAATGTTTTATGTGATAATAATATAAAAAATAGAAAAAAACACTTTAAATAAAAATTCCAAAAATGAAAAAGGAAAAAAATATACGCATATACATATAACATCATTTTACAAAAGTAATTAATTATTTTTTTTTTACAATTTGAGTATTGTTAATTGAATCTTTATCAAAAAAATGTAGTTTGCATGTCCTTTTTAGGTCTCATTACTTATGATTTTATTTTCATTTTAATATTTAATTTCACAAAAATGGTTCTGTCATTTTTCCGCATAATTAATCAGAGATAAAAAAATTATATATTTTTTCACTCTCTTTATCTTTACGGGACATTAAATTTTATTGATTTAAATTTGCAAAAGTAGTAATTACAATTAAAAAATTAAAAATATAAAAGTTTAAATTAATTATCATAAAATATAATTTATATTATATTTAATTTAGTAATAAAAAATTTAACGATACTGGTTTAAGTTTCTTTTATCAAATATTTTTCGCATGTATTTTTATTTTAGTTAATTTATAACAAATAACTGATTAATTAGTTAAAACAGCAGTTATTGTGACGTGGAATAGAAAGAAAGATGGTTAGAATAGTTGGAACATATAGTTTCGTGTTGGTAATAAAAGCGATGAAGCTGTGAATGTTTGAGGTGGAAATGATTGAAGTGAACATTATTAACCTAAAAACAGACACAACAACTACCTGTCTTTTGTTTCATACCAGTTTTGTTTGTTCAGAACTTAATGCATTTCCTTCAAATTTGGTTCCTCCAAGGTCTATAAAAATGTTCATGCAATCATCACCATCATCATCACTTCACCATTCAATTCCTCAATCACTTCTTCATCAATTGAAACTGACGAATAATAACACAAAAATAAAAATGGCGGCAGAAATGGGCATGTCCATGCAAGCAGGAAGCTCCAGTTACTTGGAGATGCATCCTGAACGCAAAATCGCTCTTTTCCAGAATCCTTACATCCTTGGAATCACTTTCGCCGCAGGCCTAGGTGGTCTTCTGTTCGGCTACGACACTGGTGCGTATTATTATTATACATAAAAACTATATATATACGTACACTAGTATTACCATAGCAACATTTTCATACGTTGGTACATGTTTGCATGCATGCATGCAATATGCAGGCGTGGTGTCAGGTGCTCTTCTGTACATAAAAGAGGATTTCGAGGTGGTTAGGAATAGTAGCTTTCTTCAGGTATCATGTTAAATACTATTAAATACTAATCAACATGTTAATACAGTAGATAGTTAAGTTTGGGAAAAGAAGCATATAAAAAATGATGATTTTGTGATGCAGGAAGTGATAGTTGGGATGGCGTTGATTGGTGCAATATTCGGTGCTGCGATTGGTGGTGTGATCAATGATAATTTGGGACGTAAGAGTGCAACTATCATTGCAGACATATGCTTTGGCGCAGGGTCAGTAGTAATGGCGACCGCACCAAATCCTTACGTGATCATAGCAGGTCGATTTCTGGTGGGTCTGGGTGTCGGTGCTGCCTCTGTCACTGCTCCTGTCTATATTGCAGAAGTATCACCATCTGAAATAAGAGGAGGATTAGTGAGCGCAAATACTCTTATGGTTACTGCTGGACAATTTCTCTCCTATGTCATCAATTTTGGCCTCACCAGAGTACTTCATTCTACCTCAGTGCTTGCCCAATTACAAATGTTTATGATTAAACTGTCTGTGAATTTCTTATTTTAAATTATCCAGGTTCCTGGAACATGGCGTTGGATGCTTGGAGTTGCAAGTTTGCCAGCAGTTCTTCAGTTTGTACTCATGGCCTTTCTCCTGGAGTCCCCCAGATGGCTTTACATGAAGGTAAAAATATTCCCAAAAATAAATCACTTAGAAATCACAGACTTTGTGATTTTCTTTTCTTACCCGCCAAATCATATCTGTTGTAATTCTTCAATCCATTTCATATCTAAATCCTTGCTTCGATTGATGAAAAAATTTGAATTTGATTATTACAGAACAGGAAAGAGGAAGCAGTTGGTGTGCTCTCTAAGATTTACTCATCACCCAGGTTGGAGGACGAGATTGCAATTCTGGAAGAACTCCTGGAACAGGAACGCAAGAGTGAGGCGAAAGTGAAGTACAGTGATGTTTTCAGGAAGAAAGAGATTAGATCTGCATTCATTTGTGGGGGTGGACTTCAGGCTATTCAGCAGCTTAGTGGTATCAGCATCATAATGTACTACAGCCCCATAATCATTCAGATGGCTGGCTTCAGATCAAACGAATCCGCTTTGTTCCTCTCCCTCATTGTTTCTGGCATGAACGCAGCAGCCACAATTCTAGGCATCTACCTCATTGACATTGTTGGGCGCAAAGTGCTCGCTCTTTCTAGTTTGTCTGGTATGACTGTGTCTTTGGTCGTTCTCTCCACAACTTGCTACCTCATGGGACATGGCAACGCAAGTCAAACACTTGGATGGATTGCTATCTTGGGTTTGGTTTTGTATATTCTTTTCTATGCCCCAGGAATGGGTCCTATGCCATGGATTGTGAACTCAGAGATTTATCCTCAGGAGTATAGGGGTTTGTGTGGTGGCATGTCGGCAACCGTCAACTGGATTTGCAGTGTGATAATGTCCACCAGCTTCCTTTCCGTGGTTGATGCCATAGGGCTTGGTCAGAGTTTCATGATTCTTTTGGGAGTATCAGCCATTTCAATTGTTTTTGTGATCTTTTTGATGCCTGAGACCAAAGGGTTGACGTTTGAAGAAGTGGCAAACGTTTGGAACGAGAGAGCCCATGGAAAGGACAAAAACGTGCAAAGCCTTGCTGAGAAAGCAGCTTTGAGTTCCTAGTTATTGTACCAATCTGAGCAATCAAGCTCATCCTCTCTGTTGAGTTATCCATGTTTTGTGTCCTTGAAATTTTAATTCAAAGTCTTGGAAAGATATTTTTATTTGGGTTACTAATGTCGAATCGTTTTGCTCATTTATTGTGAGATCTCTCTGTTATATACATTCTCTTTCTGACATTGCTCAAAGATCATACTTCACATATGATCATATTCGTTTCAGTTCCAGATGTTTAAGCAGCTGTGTTATATTCAACAGTTATAAATTAATCAACGGTAACCTTAAAAAAACAGTTTCCTTTCAATTAACATTTCTAACAAAGAAAACATAAAAACGTTAATGTCTTTAAAACACACTTCTACAAGATAAGGGCCCTTTTTTTTTTCTGGGTAAGTTGGATTGAAAGGTATATTATAAAGATACAGCAGTCATTTTTGTGATTCTACCTAATAATGTCTGCAGTTTTTTCAAAAGTTAAACAAACATGTACTACTGTATGGCAAAGCTGAGCCAATGTGTTATATTACCACTATTTAATTACTTTTGTAACACTTCTTATCCTTGAGAAGCTACTCAGCTGCATATACAAGGGGAATTAAAATGAACAGCAAACATATAGTCAGAAAATCACGAAAAAGCAAGAGATAAAATGAAACTGTTTTTCAGCCGCAGCTAACAGTAACAGAGGCATAAGGGCAGGGACTTGGTGGAATTGTGACTGGAGCTATTCCTTCCAGCATCAGCATCACCTTCTTCATTGTTGGCCTGAGAGAGGGATCCTCTTGAAGGCACCAAATAGCTACCATCACAAACCTTTCCAACTTATCTATGTCATTGATAGCCTCATCGTCGTTTGTAACCAGAATGTCTATTCTTCCATCCCTATAGCAGTCATAAGCCCAGTCAGTTAAAATGCCCTTCTCATCCATCTCCAACTTATCATCTACATTTCTCCTGCAGCAAATGATCTCCAGAAGCAGCACACCAAAACTGTAGACATCAACCTTGGTTGTGATCGGCGCACTCCTGAACCAGTCTGGTGCAACATACCCTTTTGTTCCTCGAATGCCAGTTTCTGTGCGGCTTTGATTAATCATTAGTAGCTTTGACAATCCAAAGTCTGATATTCTTGCGTTGTAATGCTCATCAAGAAGTATATTTTGAGGCTTTATGTCACAATGGATGATCTGGGTGAAGCATTCCTCGTGCAAGTAAACCAGCCCTCTCGATATCCCAAAGGCAATCTGGACTCTTTGGTTCCAGCTAGGTTTGAAATCTTCGAAAAGGAAATTTGCCAAAGTGCCATTGCTCATAAACTCATACACCAGAATCCGGTGTTCTAGCTCATCACAATATCCAATCAGGCGAACCAAGTTTTTGTGATGAGTTTGGCCAATTACATTCACTTCTGTTTTGAATTCCTTATCGCTGTCTTTTAGCAACTTGTCCAGTTTTTTGACAGCAATAGTGGCCAAATCTGTTTTTCCTTTAAAGACAATGCCACAAGATCCCCTTCCCAATTCTTCTCTGAAGTTATCTGTTGCTTGCACAAGCTCTCTAAAGCTGAAACTGCGCAAATTGCTCTCTGCAACAGTATTATTTGTAGAACTTCTCTTCTTGTAGTATAAGGGTAAACCAATACATACTGCAGTGATCACCATGAGATTCAAAAAGACAGAACCCCCTAGAAGGACTGATATCACAGTTACCAAACTGTCTTGATCCTTTTCATTTTCCTTCTCTTTTATGAATGAATCTGAAGGACTATCTGACAAGGCATCATTTTTCCTCAACTTAATGAAAGCAGATGCCTCAACTTTTCCACCCCGTCTTCCATTTGAGAGAGGCAGTTTCTTCTTCCAGCAGCTATCATCTCTAAAAATAGAAACAGCACATAAGCAATCTCGCAAGCAAGAATTCTTGCAGTCCTCTGAGTTGTAAGGTTTATACAACTCAAAATCTGATTTAGGCCAATCAGTATTTGCCATTTCCTTCATGAAGTACATATCTTCCTGCAAGCTTTGTCCACTTCCTCCACAACCGAGTTCCAAATTTGGTCTGCAGCTGCCGTACTCATCCGTTGAATCAAGAAGAGAATAGCCTTCTGGGCATGTGCACTTAGGTCTTTGATCAGCTTCCAGAGTGCAGATACTATTGAATCCACAGACCCCACTACCAGCAGTGATTGATTCCAAATTCATGCAAATGTCTTCTGGCAATGTCTTTATAACTGTCCAGCTTGGATTTGAAGCTCCACTTTTCGGGTAACGGGATATGGTGAAAGTTCCATCAAAATTTATGGTTGCTCTATAGTAATAGGAATCAGTAGAGAGCATATCATTTGGATTGGTAATATAAACCCTCTCATAGCTCCTCTTCAATACATAAAATCCTGAATCATCAAACATCACTCGGAAACCGGAGTTCGTTGTATTGTTGGAATCATAAGTGTTACTGATGTAGTGAGCCTCATAAGTACGGTTGGTAGGCAAATTTATAGGATTAAGCACAGCATTACCATCCGGAAGCAAGCGAAATTGGAACCTTCCTCGTGTGTAGTTGGTCTCTTTCTGACGCGATGAAAGCGGGCCTTTAACCTCCATGATTTGATTTGGCACCAAGGTATCGGTTGGATTGCTGAAACTGTCCCACAAAATCTGTGAATTCTCACCTAGAAGCTGGAAGTTGCCTGTGTCATTCATTAGTCCATGGGAAATCGTACCTGATATGAGCTGCGATGTCCATAGCTCAACACCCTGAGGGTTTTTCAGCACAAGTCCTCTGCTTTTACTGAGCTCTAGTGTCGAACCTTTAGGAGCAGGGTTGTCTCCATTTGCATACCAAATGAAAGAGGTACGAGGTATGTTTTGATATCTTATGGCAACCAAGAAAAGAGAATAACTCTCAGGCTGATGAAATCCAAATGCAAACTCTCCTGATGGAGAGAGCCATTGAGCACCCTCATTACCTGCAATAAGGGTATCACCGATGCTAACATTAGTCTTAGCAGAGGCAGAGACGAGTGAGAGTTGCAACAAAGGAAGAAGGATAACAGTGATCACACAAATAACAACATTGGTAGCACTCATGTTTGCTTGAGGGTGGAACCAAAGCAAAGATGCATTGGAACTGGAATTTGAAGAAACCATGCTATGTTTTTGAAACGCACTTCTGACTATTCAGCAGAACAGTATCATTTGATCAAGTCTTCCAGGTAATTTCTAAAACTGAGAGAGGAAGTGCTATATTAATTCTTGCTTCAATTTGCACGACACGTTAAACTGACTTTGAATTTGAAATATCAGTAAAGTTGAGCTGCTTCTTTGCATGAAAGCGTGTTTATACAGCATTGACTTCTTTAATAATAAGAACTGTTTGAAAAATAATTTTTCTAGTATTTTAATTTATTTGTTTAGTTTAAAGTACTAATATATACTGTTATATTATTAACATGAAGTTGTAAGTATTCATATAACTTTTCTTTATAGTATGCGCACCCAAGACCAATAGTCAAATTTAAAAACCACACAAAATTAGTCTTTTATAAAATTCAAACATGTATGTATGTGTAATAACTTAAAATTCAACAATATATTTGGAAAATATGAAGTGGGGAATTGAAGAGTACGTTAGTGTGGTCCATACTTTGAAAAGCAAATGGGTGTAAATTACGCTTCCAAATTTCATCATGGTTTAGTTATTGATTATTACGATTTGTCCACCTTTCAAAGGTAATAGGAAGTTTGAATTGCTCTCTTAGATGTAAATTGATATGATCGTTGCCGTGACATAGACACCAAATTTACCATCAATCGGAAGTATTTATTAAACATAAAAGGTTCCCTTTGCTTATATAATATAATCTTTTAAATCACATTATATTTTAAATGCATTTTCTAACATTTATTATCACTTAAAAAGTCACGCGGAGTATAACTTCTGAAACTACTCAACACAATTCATGATTGATGACTTTTAATAATAATTATTATAAAGATAAAAATATGCACATGTTTAAGTGTATAATTTAGTTTCTCGTATACATTGTAAAACTTTTGTAAGACTGACCGCTAAAGAAAAAACATTGTAGAATTTTTATATAACACAAAATTCTTATTCATATAACTTATGAAACAGTGATTATACGAGTTAACTCACTACTATGGTAATCAACAGATAAATTGTCTTCTAAAAGATTAACAATTTATCGATTTTACAATGTATCCAATTGGCTACCTATGCCACCCCATTCAATCATTCCCAATCTAACTTTATAATTTAAGCTTTTGCTAGTTTACCATTCTGCAGCTTTTGCTAGTTTAAGCCGTAGACAATGAAGAAATTTTTTCAAAACATCACTTATAAGCAATTTTGTTTTTTTAAAAAAATTAAAAACAGATAAAATAATAGTACAAACTTGGGTAGCTGAATGGCCGGTGACCACCCTACCTCACCTTTCAAATTAGTGCCACAAAAGAGGACATTTTTTTAGTACAAAAGAAGAAAGTAAAAGCATACGAAAGACACATCAGGATACAGAACTTCACATAACGTACACTATCAACATCTAACATTTCTGCCCATCTTTTTCTATTACACCAAAATTATATCACACATTCCTATTTTACTCACTGTTAACTGGAAATTAATGTCCACCAATCCTTTTCCAAAAGAAGACGGGCCTGTCAATGCAAGTGCTGACAACTAAACCATTAATAAACAACAATATCCTTTTAAACGCTTAAAGTGCTGTCCGGTTTTGAACAGAGAACTTAATGAATATTGTTGACATGGGCCTTGCGTTGTTCTTGATACGAAACAAAGATTCAAGAAAAAGAAGCGCGTTCAATCTAAAATACGAGGAAAAGGGGGTCTAGCCTCGTTTTGTCTAAGCCGGAATGCAAAATGACCCTAAAAGTAAAACATAACAGGGGATGCGTTTCGTCTATATAAGGAAATAAGGGGCACAAAGAAACAATCTAAATTTACATTTTAAGACGTTA